GATAGTTCGTCGTTTGCTTCATGTTTTCCCTGGAAAACACTGAACAAACCTCTTGTAATGTATTAGTGGGTGAGTCCTTCTTTGCATCATATGATACCATTTTCTGTTACAGATTCGATTTCAGTTCTCAAATTCAGGTATCCTGGGGACAGCCAGCCAGTAAGCTTGGCACCGTTTGACAGGAGAACGAGTGGCACCCAGGCTTATAAACATATACATACAAAACGGTTAGATACAAGCCTCTGCAAAACTGAAAATGGACAGTTTCCAGCTCCAGACTACAGCAGGAGTTAGGAAGAGGATTTATGCTGCTCAGATTTAAGACAGAATCCTGGATTTTTGTGTTCTCTGGAACACTATTCCAAAACGATCCTTCATGAGGGACACAATTAGTTTTAATGGGCAATTAAATTCAGGAAGGACTGCATCATCCATCTTACTCCTAGATATTCATAAGAGATACTAACAAATCTAAGATTACAACATCTGTAAAGAAATCACTTTTTACTTTGTTTACTTAGCATTCCCCATATCTGACCATAAGACACGTTTCTTAAGAATCTTTATTAACAGTTCTCAGAGATCTTTTATTTATTTTTTTATTTTCCCATACGGCTCAATTTGGGAGAGAGTGATGCTGGATAAATATACTTCAAATTATGGAGGACATACCACTGAAGATAAGAATCTCATGTCTAGATATTCTTTGTCTATGGAAAATCATAGATATTTACAAAACAGATTCTGAAGCAGGACTATATAGGTAGGACCTTGCTATTCGTAGTTCGGTTCTGTGAACAACAACACGGGTATCACCTGGAAGCTTGTTAGACATGCAGAACTCAGCTTCTGCCCCAGGGCCATTGAATCAGAATCTTGAATCATTTGCAAGATCCCCAGGTGATTTCTATGCACAAAAGTTTTAAGAAGACTCTTCAATAAGATGCATGCATTCTAAAGTACATGCATTGCATGTGTTTCTGCATACAAATTGTAAAATACAAACTAGAATATATAATTAAGGGTAATGGCATTTATTTTTTCAAATTTGAACACTGAACCAGTTTCATAAGAGAGAAAAAAAATTGTATAAATATCTTATAAACCTCAAATAGGTGCTCAGTTTGAATTAACACCAGCATTGGAGCTAGAAAAAGCTGAGTCAGCACATACTACAAAATCAGGAGAATGGCAGAAGACAGGGACAAAACCAGAGCGAAGCCACACCTCTCGTTCAATGAGGACTTAGAATTTACTCGTGAGAAGGGAAAGGCATTTAGTCACACACAGGCATTGTAGTTATAGTGACACCTTATATGCAGAATCCTTATTTCAGTTACACTTTTCTGACAGGGCCACATGCCAAGTTTAAAAATAATCTAGTTATTTGACAATATCTATCTTAGTATTTATTAACTGGTTCATGAATTCATTTTACAAGTGTTTTCTTTGGATTTAGCACTAGCCTCAGATCAATGAAATCAACTGTCTCAGGAGAAGGCACATAATCTTGTTTATTAGATAGATTATAATCAATCCACCATGTGGAAAACATGCATATTCCAAAATTATGGTGAGGGGGTTCCTTAAGGAGGAAACGTACATGACAAATGTTAGGTGCACATTGGAAAATACTAGGGTAGGATTAAAGATCTGGAAAAATCCCAATATCATTATATGTGTATCCTAATATCACTCAGAGTTCGTGGAGAATTAGTGTACTACATAAGTAGAGGGTGCAGTAAGATTCTGTTTCTCTCAAGTCTGTAATGCCCTTTTTATAGCCTTACTTGTTGAACTACTGTTCAGTGATTTTCTGAACCATGGTTTTTGAAGATGGTAGCTTCCCAGTGGACCACTATCTGATTCTTCCCAGCACTATGCATTACAGGGCTAGGCTCAGAGTTCATACCTGTAAAGCCAGGGATAAGATATCTTGGAGGAAAAACTGTGAATGATTCAAGGGTAAAGCATTGGCATAATTTAAGAATAGGAAGCTAGTTTTGCAAGCAATCAAGCTAATGGAATATCTGAGCCAGAAACTTTGCATGTGTGTGTGTGTGTGTGTGTGTGTGTGTGTGTGTGTGTTATTTCAAACAATTTGGAAGACTCAGTATTATACTAATTTTACAGTTGAGGAAAGGTATACGCAGAGAGGTTAAGTTCACAGCTAGTCAGTGGCAGGATAAGGAATCAAACGGTCCTGTCCAACTGTAAAACTAGGATTCTTAATCATCATTTTATTCCAGGCTTAACCTCAGAACTACAGATATTTAGGGTGGATAATCCTTTGTTCTGGGGGACCATGGTATGCATTACAGGCTCTTCAGAGACACTTCTGATATGTACCCACTAAATAGCAATACACATCCAAAACCCAGTGCACCCCCAAGTTCTGATAATGAAAAATGTCTCCAAACACTGCCAAATGTCCTTGGAAGGAAACCATCCTTGGACAGAAACTCCCATTCTATTCACAGTATGGCCCTAGGATCCTAAATGTGAGCCCGTTCCAGGAAATCTCCTGAACACAAGTCACTGGCCCAATGTCATTGGTGGAGATGGCTTACAGGTTGGCCTGTAATTGCTGCTTGTAATTCCAAGAGAAATGGAAGTCCTTGTTCTTTTAGGAAAATGCTTTATCCTCACTTATAACCATGTAATCCTGATGAAGATAACTAATGATATATTCTGCCCCCTACCCTCTCCAAGCCAAGGGATGGGAATACGACCTAAGCCAGGAGAACCAGGGCCTTTCTTGGACCTTCTTGCTCTCAGGTGTGAGTTAAGTATCCGCCTAATTTGACTAAATTGTTGAAATTGACTAAAGAGTGATGTCAACTGCAGAAACACCAGTGTATGGCTCCCAGGTCTAGGTCTCCAGAACGGCTCCTCTCCCTAACATCTGGAGGCTTTTATGATTTAGCTCCACCTTGACTATTATTTTCTAGTTCAATTGTATAAGAATGCTGGCTAACAAGAACTTACAACACAAGGTCTCTGAAAGTCATGATCTTAAGAAATCCTTTCCTGTTCCCAAACCCCACCCCAACCCTCTCCCCATACAAGTACCTAGACATGAGAATCAGCAAAGAGTCAGCCCTTCCCTATTTTAAAACTCATCCCATGTCACCCATGGAAGTCTTACCAGAAGCTGTTTCAGCAGCTGCTCCCTAGATGGGAGGTAACCAAAATATAAAGGGAGGGTCATTCTAATAAAGATTAACTGATGATACCTGTGTTAATGAAATAAAAAAGTATTCTAATTTATAAAAAGAAGAATGGTATCATAGGTTAAGATTTAAAAAAAGATAAGAGGTCAGGCTGTCAAAACTGTCCTCAAATATGCAGAAAATGATGTTTGAAGCATAAAGAAGAGACAGTGTCAACAACCCCAGTGGGAGATGATGGGGATGTAAACCGAGGTACTTGCCATGGAGATGAAGGAACAGGATGGGTAAGAAGCACAATATTTACGTACACTGGGAATAAATGGCGTCCTGGGGCAGAGTAAATAACCATGGCTGGAGCGGAAGAACAGGGAGGTATTTACAAATGTAAGGTGGCTATAATGGCATTTAAGAGAAATTTCTTAAGACTTTTGGGGATAGAGAGTTAACTAGTTTGTCACATTCATTTTAAGGGCTTGACTTGACTTTTGTCTTGGAAAAACGCTTAAATTTGGAAAAACCAGAGCATACTCTGATACAACCCAAAGATAAGGAGACAGGAGACCAGTCATCTTGTCTTCTTGAACTAGGTTGCATTTCATGACGGAGAAGGACAAGGGTTCTCGATTTTCCTTTCGGGCGCTGCAGCTTTATCCGCTGGAATAGGCATGCTGGTCAGGAATAAAGATTAAACCTTTGGTAGGAGACTTGTCAGCATTAAATCTCCCTAGAACCAAGGCGTGATTGACAGGACAGACAAGGAGAGGGAGGGGCAGATGAGGGAGGGTAAGGAGGACTAGATAATGAGGAGAAAGACAAGAAGGAGGGAAGGAAAAGAGGTTCCCATTATCTGTGCAGGCAGCTCAAGAAACCATAATGGACCTTTCTGTTCTGGAAGACTGAACCCATGCCTCCTCCCCTCTCAGCCCCACAACATCCTCCCAGTCATCATCTCTGAATAATGAAGCCCCCTGACTGCTCTGTTCCTGTAAGACACCTAGGATCACAGTAAAATTGCCACTTCCTCGGAGCCCAGCAACTGAGCCCCGTGCTGGAAATACAGGGCCATTTGAATTTGACTGGAGATGATTTGAAAAGAAAAAAATAAAAGAGGTTGTGCTCTTTATCTGAGCAAATCCATCCTGATAGGTTTGCTGTTCTGGACCTCAGCTGGGTTAGATCTGCTTCTTCTAATGGGATCCACCATTGGGATCCTACCAAGACCAGTATGAGAACTGCTTTTCCATACAAGGTAGCGGTAGTGAAAACATTTTCTTAGGCGAATTGTCTCTAAGACCACCTGCTCTCAAGTGAAAGCCCTCTGATAGGAGGAAGCATAAAGGTCACCAGCTGACAGAAATGCTAAATCCTGCCTCATTTACATATTCTACTCACCCAGTTGTGTGGGTGGAGGGTGGTTGGCTGGTGGGATGCTGGGCTTTTTAACTGAATAAGCAAAAGCCGGAGACACTGACTAAGCTCCATGAGAAAGATAAATAGAAAGTGCTGGTATCCCAACATTTGGAATGTCACTAAGAAAGTAAAATACGATCTTTCCTCCTATTTTTGTAACTTGATATTTCTCTTGTATTTTAATTTTTTTTTAATCTGCCTAACTGAAATTACTGGACTTAATTTACCGTTTTAGTTTAGTGATGACAAATTTCTGTAAACATGCCAGCCGTCTCCCTGTGCATTCTTTGACCAGCTGAACTAACTGATCGTAATAGTTTTCCATTCACCCTCTATAATACCTCAGAATCCTTCTTAACACAGTATGCCATAAAGTCATGGGTGATAGATAATTGTCACTCTAGGAACTGTACTTACCAACTCCATCACAGATTATTTATCTGAGAAGAGAAGGAAGGCTTTGCATGGTTATAATAGTTGGCATCCTTGAAATAAGCCGAGTTGGCCCAACACAGCAGAGGTAAATTTCTGGCAGCTCCTAGGAGGTAGTGACATCGTTCAGTGTAGCTCCAGACCAAGACTAAGACTTCATTCAGGCCTCGAGGATGAATGGTCTTCTGTAAGCAACAATACTTATTTCAACTAAAGCATTTTATTTGCTAACAGCATTAAATGTATAATCTCTCATTAGGGTCTTGTCCATTGTGTTTTTGCCATATGGAATTTATTGTCAAGTCTCTCCTCACTTTATACATGGATACATGGAGCATTTGGCTGAATGCCACTAAATATTTGCACTGTAAAACCATTTGCACGTCTCGGATTCCATGATCACCGAACATTTGTATATTTGTTGTTTCCCCTTTCCCTGCAGAGAAAGAATGCACTGATCATGCTGATAAGAGTATTCTGTTTTACAAAAAGCAAGACTTCTCTGTTGTATATTATGTTAATATATTGCAATTTTAATTCATTTCATTTCCTTAAAACTTAGTTTTGCACAGCCACACACATGGTTTCCCCGATTTCTTTCTTTCATTTTTCTTTCTGACAACGGTCGAGCCAGTGTCTCAGTAAACTCCAATCAGAGCCAACTTTCGGGAGCAGCCGTCTGTTCCTTCCATTATAATTCAGGCACCAACAGTAAGTATGCTCTTAACAGTAGGTTAAGAGCAAAGAATTTGAATCAGGCAAATCAGATTTTGCAACTTTCTAGCTGTGTGATCTCCAGGGAACTTCAGAACGTCAAGATTCAGTTTTGGTGCTTGGCAAATAGTAGTAATGGTGGGAATTCATGATTCCGTAAGCCCGTAGTAAAGACTAAATGAAATGATGGAGAGATATACTTAGCAGTCCCATTAGTTAGCACTCAGTGTGTATTAGATGCTCTCATTATTCCTTCTTTATAACTCCAAACGGCATTAAATTACCCCATGGGAAACATGGTGACATGCGAACAGCATCAGATCCCTAATGGTTTTACACCCGTGAGACCCAAACTTCCTTTCGTGACTTAATCAACCATTGTTAGTCCCTGTTCCATCAACATCTGAAGCTTCTTGGTGGTGATAAATCTATTTTACATATAATTATGTAAAAGGACATATTAACTATGGTAGCAATTTCCACTGACTTCATGTCATTTCTAAGTCACTTAGTGTCATAAAGCCTACCTGCTCTTCAGGGAACCAGTCCCTCCCAAGATTTCTCATGTCAGGTTGGCCTAGCCCAGTCAGAAAAAATTACAGGCTGGCTATCAATCAAAGGCATTTATCAGGGCACCTCAAAGACCATAATGCTATGCTAACTACTGCACAAAGTGAATCATACAGACGTAGCCCCAGCAATCTAGCACCTTGTAGGGAATAAAACACTTCTTCAGGGAGAAGAAAGGGTCTTTGCATGCAATGAAAGAAGTATGCTGTGACAGAAAGACTCCAGTGTCAAGAGCTCTAAATTTCCCAGCTCTGTCCTTTAGAAATTCACTTTACATCTCTGTATCTGTTTCCTCACTGAAAAGTAGAATTATAAAATCTGCCTACCTCCCAGGGTTCTTAAAACTTTGAAAACATCTGCAATGTGCCATGAATATTTATATATCACTTTTCTACAAAGACAATAATAATGATAATGGAGTGATCAGAATAGAGAGGATGTGAGCAATAATAGATACTTATAAATATTATTGTTTTGAATTTCTACTCTGGGCCAGATCAAAACCAGAGTCTCAACCAAGTTAAGCTGAGGATATGGGTGGAAATTCCTCCTTGGTCAGCAGTAACAGCCTAATGAGTTGAGAACAGAGAAATCAATCTTCTGGGGAATTGTTTTGTATTATCTGAGTGAGTATCTGAAACAGAAGAATTTTCATAGGACAATTGGGTGTTAGGGGGTTTGGGCAAGGGAGGAAGGGGTGTCTAGATGGAGTGGTTCTTGCAGGATTCCAGGTATTCAGTTCTCATCAGTTCCAAGGCCCTAGGCACAGGACCAAGTATATATGACCATCACCTCCCAAGAAGTCTTAGGCAGGAACAGTAAGATCAAAATCCCCACTGGCTTCCCATTGCTTTTAAGGAACAGACTCAGTCTGTCTTGCTTTATTACTCGAACTCCATCTCCGAACATCCCCATTTTTCTCCATGCTCCAGCTACACTAACAACGTTTTGTCATTTTTCTAATGCACCGGCTCCCTTCTGCCACAAAGGTCTATTGCAAACAATGTGTCTTCTGCCTAAGATCCTCTTTCTTTACCTCTTTGCTTCATTGACCCATCCTCAGCCTGTAGCCTTCAGCTTAAATGTCACGTCCTCAGGAAAACATCCTCTGCATCTCCAGACTCAGTCAGGTCCCCATTAAAAGTCCTTAAGGGCACCGGGTCAGTTCTTTACCTGTATAGCTAAAGTCTTTGAAATCACAGAAATTTCTGCATGGTTGTTTAGCCTGGCCACCCACTCAGCTGCAAGCCCCACGGCAAAGACAGTTTCACTTGGGTCCTTTGGTAACTAATGAAAGGCCTGCAGCTGTTCTTTAATAATTCCTAAATTAGTTAATGAGTCACTGAGGAACTGAGCAAAGGAACTACACACTTTAAAATTATAAAATATATTTTATTATTACATTAGTAACATATATTCAATATAGAAAATTTTAAAACTATGAAATTATAAATAGGACAAAAATATTTCATTTCTACCACACAGGATTAATAATCTATTATGATTTATTCATTTATAATTCTACTTATGATTTACTAATACATTAATAAAGCATGTTAAGTTTTAATCTCTTCTTATATGTGAATGCATATATGTAATATATAATGTGTATATACAAGTTATATCTGTATATATATTATATATAACTATATATACACATATACATACAAATTTGGATTATTGGGCATACATTGTTTATGAGCCTGTTTTTATAATTTAGCAATATAAGGAAAAAGTTTCAAAGTCACCAAAATAATATTTAAGAGCTAAGTAGCAATGTGGCTCTGTCAATTACCTTAATTTATCTAACTAATAGCTTATTGTCGGCATTTGGATTATTTTGAATAGTTTGTTATATAAACAGTAGCATAATAAACAGTTGTTCTGATATTTTCTCATGCCTTTTTCTTAGGATAAACATCTAAATATGGAATTTTATTTAGTCAAATATTTTGCTGTATACTGCCAAATTGCTTTAAAAGGAAAATGATTCCAAATCTCTCTCACACTAGTGAGATATAAGAATATCTAGTCATACTCAACAATAATTGTTCTGTTCTTCTTTTAAATTCTCCAAGCTGACAGATGAAATTTGTATTTTACTCTCATTTATTTGTATCTCTTTGATTACAAATAGGGCTGAATGTATAAACACATACATACATACATACCTGCATACATACACGTATTTTTGTATGCATATTTACCATTTACTAAACATCTTACTTTGTTCATTTTGTAAGTATCTGTTGAAGTTAAATATACATTTATACATATATATACATTTTTATATGTATATTTTTAATATGTCTACCATTTTTAATTATCTTATTTTGTGTATGTTTTGTATATCTGTTGCTTTTTGCACTCCATATGCTTATCTTTTTTTCTCAGAATGTATAAATATCTATGCATATATGTGAAAATTTTTATACTACATTTTTAGGATATTATATTTTCCCAATTGCTTGATCTTTTTAATTTTGGTTTGTGTTCTGCTATGAAGTAACACACATTTTAATATTTTGAAAGTTACATCTTTCATTCTTCAGTATTTATGGTGTTTGTGTGTGCACATGTGTGTACCTTTTACAAAAAGATTTCATTTGGATATTAAGTTTCATATCTCCATTGATATTCCTTATCATGACTCAGAAGAATCATTGTATTCCTGATGGGCTAAAAAACTTAAAATTAGAAATAGATGTTAAGTCTTATCAAAAGCCTGTTTCCTATTACCATGTTTCTAATACTATCATGTAGCCTCCTTTTATAAAATGACTTTTTTAAAAAAGCAGTGTTTAAAAAATATTACTGTTAAATGTTCTGATATAGTTAAGTATGTCTGTAAGTAACTCCATTAGCCAAATTCATCAGCTCTGACCCAACCGCTGTTGGCTATTTGCCTTACGTGTTCCTCGAACACTTAGAAAGCAGCTTTCATACCTGAAATGTCACAGGCAGACTTGCAGCAGGACGATAACATGGACTGAGGTTCTGAGACTGGGTTAGATCCTCTCGGAGGGAGGGACAGGTAGTGTCGAAGGAGCTCACCAGAGACAATCCATGGGCATGTCCATTTCAGTCGTGGCGTGCGTAGCAACGTGGCCATAAATACCTGCACTCCTAAAAGCGGGAGACAGGCCAAACTTAACCCTGAGGAATTCAGATGAACTTCTGGGAAGTGGCTACAAGCTGCAGAACCTGATTTTCTAGGTTGAAGGCTCAAGGACCAGCTCCAGCCCCTAGAGGAAAGTAAGACAAGAAGCACTCCTTTAAGGAATATGGGCAACTCAGAAAAGTTACCAACTTAGAACTGAAATATGGATCAGAGCAGAAACCAAGTTCCAAGAAAGGATGCCAGGTGAAGGAGTGGACACGGGGTCCTAAAGTTCCCTTGACCATAGCAGCACCTTCTGGGTCAAGCCCTGCCTCTGCCAGCAGGGAGGGATGCATCAGTTAGCTCCGGGTCACTGTTTGCTGGTCCCCTGAAATAACAAATAATAATAAGGCCTCTCGGGCAGCCTAGGGACACCATGCTTCTTAAGACTTACACTCTTCCTTTTCTTCAAACAAACCCGAACTTTTAGACCCATAGGTCCAGTAAGCGGTGGTGGGCAGGGTGGGGGGTCATGAGAGGTGAACTGAGGCCAAATGGTGATAGAAATCATCGAATGAGCTTCTTTCAAGCTTACATCCAAACTCCAGGAGGTATTCATGTGTCATATTGGGCAATCTGGAATTGGTGGTGGGCAGGCGCTACTTCAGAAAACCTTTATCCTGTTTATTGGCATAAACACTGTGGGTAATAAAATCCTCTTTGTGAAGCTTGGTGTTACTGTCATCTAACCTGCCAAAGAAACCAAACATCTCTGTAAATTTTGGCCACTTGGCCTTGAACTATGAAATGCTGAGACATATTTATTAAAATGTAAACCATGAAGAATAGGCCTCTCTTTAAGAAAAATCCGTTTTGGCAGGATGGAAAATACAGGGTGGCGTTCAAAACGCAATCATAAATAAATATAGGTATACCTTAATAGAATAATATGAATATCTACAACTGTAATGCACATGTATTTCCCCAAATTTCCTCAAATTACAAAGTCATCTTACTATATTGAATATATGAGGCAGTTTTAGGGGGATGATGTATTCATGATTACTTGCAAACACAGGTGAGTGAGCCAATAATTAAAGGCGCATAGTGATTCTTTTTTAGAGAACCTGAAGTAGTGTTAAACATGAAGGGCCCCCCACCCTACTGCTCCAGCCTACATACACCCTCCCTTGCCCTCTCCCATCCCATGCCACAGAGATCGCCACTAAGGGATTTGTGCTGGGATCCATTAGGGGACTTTTTAACACCTGAAAGTCACTTCTCTCTTTTTTCTTTCTCTCCCCTAATGCTCATATCCTCAAATACCGTTGAAAAACGGCTGGGATCAAAGTCCCAGAAGTGGCATCTTTGCTGTGTTAACTGTCATTACCCTAAATCTTGAATTTTTTTACCTTTCTAGAGCAGCTCAACTCACCCATAAGATTCTAGGCTTAAACCAGGAGTGGCATTTTAGCCAGTATCCTTTGGAAAATTGGTTGCTACAAGAATTGAGCCACCTGTTTCAAGGGAGTAACCAGGCATTAGAGGACAATGCTGATTGCTTTTTTCTGTGTTATCATGATTTTAAACTATATTTAATGGGCTATTCAAAGGAGAGATTTTGCCATCTGGGGGAGCATTCTAGAAGACCACATTGGTCGCTGTGCATATGAATGTCAAAGTCAGTTTTACACCACAAAGGAGCTGTAAAAATTGTGAAGAGGAAATGACCCAGAAATTCCAGCTAATGCAACTTCCCCCTGAAGTCTAATCTTCTCACAATGATATTTAAAAAGTAACTTCCCTGTCTGCTCTGAGGTCACATGTGGCTCTCCAAAGTTATGAAATGAAACAGAGAGTGATTTGTTTAGCAAGCATTTCTCTTTTATTCTGTATATGGGCAGAGACCTATGTCCCACCACTCACAGAATATATGACATTGACACCGTACCAGATGCAGGGTCTTGCTTTATGATTTTTTTCATTAAACACTATGTGTCCTTTCTCAACCCTCTTGTTATTAATATTATTTTAAAATGCAAAATTACATAATATACTATTTTAAAAACACAATGCCTATATAAATATAATTTATTTTTCAGATGAACATTTAAGCTTTACCTAATTTTTAAACTTTATAGAGTGCTTCAAAATACTTCTTCAGAAATAAATGTATATTTTTATTTATTTTTGAATATATACTTGCAAAGGAGGAGCCCTTTTTCAATGTCTTTGTTCATTCCCATGTAGCTCGCTAATGCATTTCCTCTAAATATTCCTTTCAAATATATACACAATTTTTTAAAAAGCATGTTATGTGTAAGTTAGACTCAAAAGCAAATAATCTTGTTCACATCTTTTCCTGCCTCCTTAGGATGTATTCCATAATATTAATTACTTGACCAGAACATGTGACTATTTTAAAACTATTAATATATTTTAAGAGTATGCCTTCTAGAAACAATTTGATCAGTTTTCATCCTCCTTAGCTGCATTGGGGTCTGCCATTCTTACTGCACTCTGTGCAAGAATATGCCACTGTTTTTTAAAATATGCCTATTCGATGAACAAAAGAGCTGCCTTTCTGTTTAATTTGCAGTTCATTTATTACTGATAAATGTTTTATGTGTTTCTCAGCTTTTTTCTGTTTTATGAGTGCTTTTTGATCTGTGTCCATGTATCTTCTAGGTATTAGTTTTCTCTCTTTGACTTGTAAGTGTTCTTTATATAGAAATGGTATAAACTTTTGTTATGGATTCTGATTTATTTCCTTTCATTACTTTTCTTCTTATTTCTGTCTCTCTTTTTTTGCTTTTATAAACTTTGCTGGCAGGAACTCTTACACATATCCTTTAGTAACTGTAGAAGAATTTCTCTTAATCAGAATATGTCCGTTTTTCAGCTTGACTTGATATTTGCCGTTCAAGGTGTTTCTACCAATTTAAATTCACATTTCTTATCAGAATTTACTTTTATCCTGCCTTTTTATTAGTGATGTTCTGGTTGTGATAAACATGTCTTATCATGGCTTTAATTTGCATTTCCATTATTATTTTTGAGTGGAGCTTCTTTTTATGTGCATATTGACCTTCACATTTCCTCTTCTTTGAATTGCCTACTCTCATATCTTGCCCAAATTTTATGGGGCTATTTATCTTTGCCTACTGATTTGGGGGAACTTTTAATAGAGTAGATAGATTAATATTTGTCAGTTGTATGCATGGCCACTATTATCATCCAGACTATGGCTGATCTATTTTTTATTGTGAAGTATCCATCCATCCAAAGAATAGATGTGATGTACATACAGAAGGCTTGAAATATGATACAACAAAACCCTTATGCTGAACACATACAACATCCCTGCTAATAAAAATATCACCAATGCTTTTAAAGCTTTCTAAATGCCCTTTTCTCTTTCCTGTGTTAACCATGCCTTGGAATTTTTTTAAGTCAACTTTATTGAGAATTTGTTACATACAGCAAAATATACACATGTTAAGAGTATTATTTAATATCATTTGACAAGTATATATGCCTATGATCAAGATACAGAGCATGTTTATTACCCCCACAATGTTTCTATGTGCTCTTTTTAATTAATAGTCCCTCTTCTAATCCAATCCCCCAAAAAGCCAATATAAGCTGTATTATAGATTAGTCTTGAGTGTTCAAGAATTTCATGTAAATAAGATCTTACATTATGTGCACGTACTTCTTGTCTCTGCCTTCTTTTTCAAAGCATGGTGTTTTTGAGATGTATTCATGTTGCTGCTTATGTAAGTAGGTAGCTCCCCTTTAATTCTGAGTAGTATTCCATTGTATACTACAAGTTGCATACCCACTCTGCTGTTGATGAACAGCGGAATTGTTTCTATTATTTTTAGCTATTATTAATATCGCTACAATAAATATTTATGTACAAGTATGTGCGCATGACTTTAAAAAATTGTGGCTACTGATTTTAATTTGCATTCCGTTAGGACTAATGCTTTTGAGCATCTTATACTTATTGGACATTCATGTATCTTCTTTGTAGTGTGTCTATTGACATATTTTCTTTTTTTTTAAAAAAAAAGCTTAGGTTGTCTTTTTTATTACTGAGTTAAATTTGTCCTTTATATATTCTGGATTCAGGAGTTTTGTGTACATACATATATGAAATATTTTTTACCTGTCAGCGGCATACCTTTTCATTTTCTTAATGATGTCACTTTTGTCAAATTTATTGAAATATAATTTATATGCAATAAACAGCATGCATTTAAAGTGCACATGTGATGAGTTTGACAGATACATACACATGTCAAACCACCACAATAAATATACAAAACACTTCCGAAGCATCCTGCAGCTTTCTCTTTCCTTTTGCAGTCCACCCTCCCCTCCATTCCTGGCTGGTCGCCAGACAACCGCTGATCTTCCTTCTGTCAAAACAGATTATTTTGCATTTTCTAGATTTTATATAAATGGAAACATACACTTTTTATATCTGACTTCTTTCACTCAGCATAATGATTAATCTGTGGAAATTCATCCAGTTGTTATATGTTTTCGTAGTTTACCATTTTTATTATGAAATTTTTATTTTTATTGCACAGATATGCTGCATTGTGTTTACCCATTCTCTTGTTGGACATTTGGATTGCATCTGTGTTTTGTTTATTGTGATAAAGCCATTAGGAACATTCATGTACAAGTCTTTGCGTGGGCATCTATTTTCATTCCTCTTGGGTAAATATCTAGGAGTGGAATGGCTAGTTCATATGGCACATTAAGTTTCACTTAGAAACTTCCTAATGATTTTCTAATAGCTGCATCATTTTATATTCCTACCAGCAATGTATGTATGAGAATTTAAGTTGCTCTATATCTCATTAACAATTGGCAGTATCAGCCTTTTAAATTTTAGAATGCTGATGTGTATGCTGTGACATCATATCATGGTTTTAATTTGCTTTCCCCTGATGACTAACATTGCTAAGCATCTTTTCATATACGTATTTGCCACCTCTAAAACGTCTTTGGT